TCAAAATAACCAAGGTATAAACTAATCCATCAGAAGTTTAACTTAATATACGACTCTCAAGTTATGTAAAGTGTCTATGAGGCTACACCTTAAAGATACAGTGCCTGTTTGAACTCCTTATTCAAAAACTAAAAAAATTCAAAAAAATATTTTCAATACTGCGAAAGTATAAAAAGATTAAATCTACTATGACTTGAGTTTCGGCGCCTGCAATCTAATATATATATATATATATATATATATATATATATATATATATATATATATATATATATATATATATATATATATATATATATATATATATATATATATATATATATATATATATATATATATATATATATATATATATATATATATATATATATATATATATATATATATATATATATATATATATATATATATATATATATATATATATATATATATATATATATATATATTAGGGATGTACCGAAGCTGAAATTTTGCCGAAGCCGAAGCTTCGGCCGAAGCCACTTTGCCGAAGCCGAAGCTTCGGCACTATATATGCTTAAAATTTAATCAGCATTCAGATCAGCAGGGTTGTAAAACAAGACTAAGGGGTGTAAAACAAGACTAACGTCCTTGACTAATAATATAGAAAAATTGTATAAAAATGAGGACGCCAGTCAGGGTTACTGTTCCAGGCAGGGCAAAAGCTCTCAGCGCCTCTGTTTAAAAGTTTTTCATTATGTCGTTTCTGATACTTGACCGCATCGAGCGTTTTTTTTTTAAACTTAAGCTTTTTTGAAACATTCTCCCCAAATTTTCCTACTTCTAGTTCTACTTTTTCTGTGTGCAAACCATACTAATGTTATATAGCATTTTTTCATGTGCTGTATATTTTATTTTTATTTTTAATGCACCTTTTGTGAAATAGAAGTGGATAAAAATCTCTGAACATTACTAGAGTAAAATTATCTTTTGCACTTGATCACTCTTTCTTTAAATAAACACTCTTAACTGATCTAGTTGTATCTACAACATAAAAAATCTTAGAAACACACTTTATCTTTTTATTGCTATTTATTTCAATATATTTTTTTTACTTCTCTGTATTCTTTAAACGAACAATTTCTAAACTAAAAAAAACCCAAGTTAAGACCATTTTGGATTCCACTACAACTGTTGTGCTCCTGCTGTTAAAAAAAAGTACAAATGACAGATTTCTCTCTAACTTCTTTTTTACTCACTTTTAAGTATTTTTTTTTTGATTATTTTCAACTTAACACTACATAACATTTTCTATAGCTTTTTTTAATCTTTTATACTTTGAAATCATAGTATTCATTCTTCTTCTGTCTCTATAATGGATAAATCTGCATCAGTATCTGAAATCAAATATTAACTATCTGTGATAAAAACTTCCAAAGTAATCTAACAACTCTGTAGAGTGAGCTTTAAATAAAATAATAAATAGAATACTTTATAAATTTTTTATTAATAATTGTATTATTATTTACTTTGTATTTATAAATAAACAGGGACTGAGCAGGCTGATATTTATTTGATTTAAATTGTTTATTTAATTTAAATAAATTTTGATGATAAATATAAGAGTTCAAAGTAATCAAAGCTTCAACCTTTAATTTATTTTAAATAAAATTTAAAAGTCTTCATAATATCATAAGAAGAAACCAGAATATTGGTTTATATGTTTAATATATAAATTCAATTTAGAAGTATTCATAATATTAATAAAAGAGCAAGGATAGTTATTATCATTGTTTTTCTTTTTTCTTTTAATTTATCTAGTTTTTGTTGGCTTTTTTTTTTTCTTTTTTTATTCTCCTCGTTTATATTTCATTTGCTTTTCTTCCTTTTTTGTTGTTAAGAACTTTTTGTTTTTTATGTGTCACTCCATTGACTATTTTGTATCTATATAAGTGACACCTAACCAATTTCTGTAAATTTACGATGAAAATTTGTAAATTTTTATTAATATGGTTAAATAAAATTTTAAAAAATTAAACATACACACAATTTAAAATAGTAGCAACGTATCTTTAATCTTCTTTAAAGAGATATTACTAAGGTTTATTGGTCAAATGTTGAAACTAAATTTTGTTCTATTTGCGGTAATCCCACACAATAATTAATATGAATTCGTTATTAAGGTTTTAAAAACTTTTAATTTGTTTTAAATTATAAGGTTTTTGTTCTGCATAGAAATGCTGCTTCAGTTCATCTAAAGTCACACTTGGAAGCTTTCAAAGTGTTTGAGGACCTTCCTTAATTTTATTATTTTTTTCAAAATATTTTTACTTATTTATTATTATCCCCTCCATAACAAGACACTTGGGAGTAAATAATACTAAGTATATGGTATAGACTCCAACTTTAACTCTGTAGTCCTAAATTTATAACTTTATTAGACACTGGCAATTAGCTTATTTTTATAACTTGTCCCACAGTAGCTTATAACTTTAATTAATTAAAATTTTTTGCCGAAGCCAAAGATTCGGCAAAAAATTGACCTGGCTTCGGCCGAACCGAAGCTTCGGTACATCCCTAATATATATATATATATATATATATATATATATATATATATATATATATATATATATATATATATATATATATATATATATATATATATATATATATATATATATATTTTATTATGCAATTTTTATATATATATATAAATATATATATATATATATATATATATATATATATATATATATATATATATATATATATATATATATATATATATATATATATATATATATATATATATATATATATATATATATATATATATATATATATATATATACATATACATATATATATATACAGTATTGGACAAAACATTTGCAACCAACATCGAACAATGCTAAAAAGTGTTCCTAATTTTACATGTCTTAAAAACGAAACGAATTAAACTACCACAGATAACAGTTCAGGAGTCTGGAGTCAAAGCAAGCCTTGAAATGAGCAATCAACTGACAGGTGACAGCACACAGGTAGAATTTCGTTGACAATTGCCATTTTGCAGCAGACAAAACAAGTGCAACTTTTTTGGTTTGCTTCATTTTCTCAAGTCTGGTCCATGTCAACGTCACGGAAGTTTTTTAATAATTAAAGGAAGTATCCAAAAGTTTCCAGAAGCATGCAGAAGCTTCCAGAAGTTTCCAGAAAAAGCATCTGGAAGCATCCAGAAGCATCCAGAAGTATCCAAAAACATTCAGAAGCATCCAGACGCATCCAGAAGTTTCCAGAAGTATCAAAAAGAATCATCTAGAATCTTCCAGAACAGGTTCACACAAGTTCGTTTTACTATATAAGAGACATGTAAACCGACATGTAATTCAGTCAGTATATGGAAGTCAATCAGTCAGTATTATCAAAACAGTTTATCGAAGTGAGTTTTATCAAAGTGTTTTATCAAAGAATATCAATACAAGAAGTGAAAAAAAACAAGTGCTTCATTACATCAATACAGTCCTCATCCAACCAAGACGTTGTGTTCCACAGAGCATTATTGTATCATCACAAGGTAAATGTAAGCCTTGAGAAGCGTGATTATTTATTTTTATTACTTTTACGACTTCAAGTGAAAAAATGGCTCCCGACAGTCTTGGATTGGAATTAAGAAAGAACATTATTGGCGATTACGTAAGTGAAATGTCACGAAAAAGTGTTTGTGATAAATATCGCGTGAAAAAATGGACCGCATCAAGACTATGTTCCAAATATCGTTCTACAGGTAAGTTCGCAGCAGATAACAAAGGTGGAAGACCGCGGCCGTTTCATGTATAAAAAAAATCCTGAAAGATATGTTACCTCATGCTGAATGGAATATGCCAATAAAATGGGTTTTTCAGCAAGACAACGATTCGAAACACACTGCAAAAGTAGTCAAGCAGTGGTTTTAAGACAACCACCTATCGGTGATGGGTTGGCCGCCCTAATCTCCGGATCTCAACCCTATCGAGAACCTGTGGGAGATCGTCAACTACAGAATTAATCATGAAGGTGTTCGTAATATGGATCAACTGTTTGAACAAATCTAAAAGGCCTGGGCAGCGATTCCACAAAGTTTCATTGATCACCTGATTGAATCTATGCCTCGAAGATTCAAGGCTGTGATCGACAACAAAGGATTTGGCACGAAATATTGATAGCGAAATACAGTTTGGTCAACATTTTGTGGAGTTGCACCTGTTTTGATTAATTTATTAATTTTCGTGTACAAATAATGAACTTTGTGATGAATAAAACTTGAAGAACGTTGTCTCTAAACAGTAACATAGTTCTCAAAATTGAAAAAATGCAGCACTTTTATATAAAGAAACTAAATTAGCATTATTTGGTTGCACTTGTTTTGTCCGATACTGTATGTATGTATGTATGTATGTATGTATGTATGTATGTATGTATGTATGTATGTATGTATGTATGTATGTATGTATGTATGTATGTATGTATGTATGTATGTATGTATGTATGTATGTATGTATGTATGTATGTATGTATGTATGTATGTATGTATGTATGTATGTATGTATGTATGTATATATATATATGCACTTTTTTTTTGTTACTCTGTTATAAGAGAGAAAAAAACAGTACAAGACAAAAATTTGTTTGACTTTTTTGCTTAGCATTGCAAGGTTCGGGTCCACTTTTTTATATCCATTTTTTTTTATTAAGAAAAATTTGGATAAAGAGGACTTTTTTCACAAATAGATGATTGCGCACTCCACCCCCCCCCCCTCCTTCAAAACCCGTGTCGTCGGCCCTGCAGGTAGAAAAACTTCATATTTTTTGCTCATAAATAATAATACATTATTAAAATGTATTATTTTTATATATATTATTATATTTCTGTATATATTATTACGTACATATAATATATTATTTTTATATAAATATATTTTTTGTTCCAATAAAAAGAAAAAGGAGAAAAAAAAAAAAAAAAAAAATTGAAGCGGAATTTAAAAAATGCGCCTTGGCGAGTAATATTTTGCGTCTGCAAAATATTGAAATTAGCGTATAAATACACAATAGCCTTGGTTATGGCTTGGTTGAAACTTTTCTTTTGAGAAAAAGCTATAATATGGGCAAAGGAAAAAAAATTAGGGAATCTAATGAAGAAGGTGAATGCTTTTTTATGAAAATCTGTTCCTTTTATCTGTAGATTTAAAAGAAGGAGCCATTAACCCGTTACTTTTAAACAATTATTCAGATATTAGGAATAAAATAAATTGTATTACAAAGAATGGTTTTTTTAAAAATCAAAAAATAATGTTACAACTAAAAATATTCTGTATAGCATATATACCCAACTTTTTTCAGCTTTCCCTATTTTTTTATTAAATTAAAATTTATATTATAAAAAATTGCGCGATATAATTGTAAAACGATCAAAAAATGAATCAACATTAGAGTAAATAATCAAGTTCAAAATTTTATTATTAAAAATACTAAATATCTAAGATAGAAAAGATCAATTGGTGTTAATTGATTTAAATAATGTTGATAGGCTTATTTATTATGCCTAATTATTCTATATGTATATATATATATATATATATATATATATATATATATATATATATATATATGTATATATATATATATATCTATATATATATATCTATATATATCTATATATATCTATATATATCTATATATATATATATATATATATATATATATATATATATATATATATATATATATATATATATATATATATATATATGTATATATATATATATATATATATATATATATATATATATATATATATATATATATATATATATATATATATATATACACACACATATATATCTATATCTATATATATCTATATATATCTATATCTATATCTATATATATATATATATATATATATATATATATATAAAACACAACATATAAAAAACACAATAAACAAACAGTACTATATGTGTTAATAAGATTCGGAATTATACGGAAAAAAACACATTCTAAAACTTTTTAGTCCCTGTGTAATAAGATTAAAAAGTTCAGTACAGGAAGTAATCCACTGTTTAGGGTGGTAGTCTTCCGACAAGGTGATAGAAAATGGAAATGGAAAACAGTTTTTTGAACCAAGTAAACTGGCCATCATTCGGACAGGGTAATCACTCTCCTGCCTCCAAACTGTTACATGAATGGTGCGGTAAAATTTCAAAGTATGTCTTAGAACTATCAAAGAAAGTAAAAGATCTTGATGATAAAGTACAAAATAATTTGAAAATCATTGACAGCCTGAAAGATGACCTAAGTAGATCAAAGCAAAATGTAAATTCAGCCTATATTGGAAACGAATGGGTGCAAATTGTTACAAAAGGAAGCAAAAGCTGTAAAAAGCCACCTGAACAACTAGTGGTTGCTAATGCAACCATAAATGAGCTGCACAATAGAGAAAGGAGAAAAAGAAATCTAATTGTTTTTGGAATTCCAGAATCAACTCAAACGGATCTGTTAATTAAGAGAAATGAAGTTGAAAAAAAGATAACAGATGTTATTGGCAAAGTCGAAGTTAAACCAGTTTATACCAGAAGACTTAGATCGAAAGACAAAACGAAATCTGGTCCAATTTTAGTTGAACTGGATGAACCATCCATTAGAAATCCAGTCCTTTTATCAGCAAAAAAATTAAGAAACAGCATGGATCATAAACAGATTTATATAAGTCCAGATCTTACTGAAGCCGAAAGACAAATTGATCTCCAGCTAAGACAAGAAAGAAACAGGCTTAATACAAATCTTGATACAAACCCTCCATTTCGATATGGCATCCGTGGTAACCAATTGCATAAGTTCAAGAAGAATCAAAACTCAACTTAAAGCACTTTTATTACCTGAAAGCATAACAGAACTTAATTGTATTTACCTGAATGCTACCTCACTAGAAAATAAATTAGATGAATTAAATGTTGTAACTAGTTTGCATTGTCCAAAAATTGTTGGAGTAAGCGAAACATGGTTAAAAAAAAATTCAATTGTAAACATTCCTGGTTACAATATATACAGATATGATAGAATTGGTGATCGTAGAGGCGGTGGTGTTTACTTATTTATAAAAAATTCAATTGACTCGTATGAGCTGGTCGACACTGATTTTATTTTAGCAAAATAAAATCAATACCTGGTTGTTTGTCTATACAGACCAAATTATGTTGTTGATATGGTAGATCTTGACAATATTTTTAAGATAGCAAGAAGATATGTTGATGTTAATGCCTTTAAAGATGTCCTAATTATGGGAGATTTTAATTTCCCAGCCATTAAATGGTCAAACGGTAGTATAGCATCAATTTCAAATGAAAGTGGTATAGAACATAAATTCTATAAGACTTTAAGTGATACTTTTCTCTATCAACATATAAACATACCAACTTTTCAATTGACTAATGGCTCACCCTCAAATGTTTTAGATTTAATATTCACAACAGAGTCTGGTAGTGTATGTGCTGTCGACCCAGGTTTTGTGCTTGGTGACATAAACAAAGGTCATCTAATTATTTACTTTAAATTTGTCCTAAAAAATAATGTTAAAAGATTAGTCTGTAGTAACTTTAAATTTTTGTATAGCAAAGCTAAATTTGATAAAATTTCTGATTTTATGTCCAATATCGAGTGGGTGAAGTTGTACGAAAACAAGACAGTGCAAGACATGTACGATGAGTTAATTTACTATACCACTGAAGCATGCAATTTGTTTGTTCCAACCATAGACATTTCACAAATCAAAAGCTCAACAACTCCTTGGATTAATAATGAAATCAAGCAGTTAATAAGAAGAAAAAGAAATTTAAGATACATAAGTTCTTCTCACAGATGGAATGATATTAAACTGATTAAAGAATATAAGCAGCAATGCAAATTATTAAAAATAGAAATATACAATGCTCGAGTTTTAATTGAAAAAAATCTAGTGTTAAGGTCTAAACATAATCCTAAACTTCTATACAAATATTTAAACAGTACAAATTCAATAAAAGATCCAATAAAGGTCATAAGAATGTCTAATGGTGATTTATCCCATGAACCAAATAAAATAATAAACTGTCTAAATAAACATTTTCAGAATGCCTTCACTATTGAAAAAAAAAGAGATCTTCTACCATTTCATCTCGAATTAAATAATGTATATAAATTTGAAGATATTGAATCAGATGATATTAGCTTTGAGTTAGTTTTATCTAAACTTAACTCACTAAAAGACAATAAATCACCTGGACCTGATAAACTTTGTTCAATAGTCCTCAAGAGTTATGCTATATCTTTTACTTTACTCCTAACTCTTATATTTAGAGAATCGCTTAAAACCAGTCAACTACCAATACAATTCAAGTCAGCAAATGTAACACTGATACATAAAAAAGGTGACAAAACAGTGGCCAGCAATTATCGCCCTTTTTCATTAACTTCTATTCCTTGTAAAATATTAGAATCTATTCTAAAAGAAAGAATTGAAAAACATCTTTACAAAAACAATTTATTAACAATTCAACAGCATGATTTTATAAAAGGCAAATCTTGTACCACAAATTTGCTAGAAACTCCTGACTTTATTTCCTCATGCAACAGCAATGGTTTACCTGTTGATGGAGTAATGCTAGACTTTGCTAAAGCTTTTGATAGTGTTCCTCACAAGAGACTCTTTGCTAAATTGAATGCATATGGTATTAATGGCTTAGCTCTAAAATGGATAGAAGCTTTTCTAAGTAATAGAAGACAAAGAATAGGAGGAACCCTCTATATATTAATGGCATAAAGTTACCAGAATCAAACAGCATAAAAGATCTAGGCGTAATATTTTCTAAAAATCTCAAGTGGAAAGATCAAGTTATGTCTGTAACAAATAATGCAAATAAAATGTTAGGTCGAATCAAAAAATCATTTGCAAGATTGGACTGTTATTTACTTAAATCACTCTATGTAACCTTTATTCATCCTTTTCTAGAATTCTCAGTTCCAGTAAGGTCCCCGTATCAAAAAGGTGACTGTAAAGTAATTGAACAAGTGCAGCATCAAGCCACCAGACTGATTAAATCAATTAGTTGTTTCAGTTATGAAGATTGATTAAAATTTTTGAAATTGACAACTTTAACTAAACGAAGAGAAAGAGGTGATATGATCCAACTATTCAAAATAATGAACAATGTAAATATAACAGAGCATAACTAACAAATTATTCAAAATCATGCTAGAGGTCACTGTTTCAAATATTATAGAGAAACAACAAAAAATCTGCTAAGGCATAATTTCTTTTATAATAGATCGGCAAACTTATGGAACTCATTGCCTTTAGAACTAGTCAATTCATCTTCTGTAAACTCCTTTAAAGCAGGGTTCGACTGTTGGACGAACAACAATCTCTCTCTCTCTCTCTCTCTCTATATATATATATATATATATATACATAAATATATACATATATATATATATCTTCATATGGAATTAGTGGTTTATTATTAAAATGGATTGAAGCTTTTTTAAAAAACAGAATCCAAAGAGTTATCCAATGTGATGTTGTTTCTTCATGGCGCAAAGTCTTCAGTGGTGTTCCGCAAGGATCCGTAATAGGGCCCTTATTATTTGTTATTTTTATTAATGATATATCAAATATATTTAAAAATAAGTCAGTATTGTATGCAGCTGATACAAAAATTCTTTCAAAAGTGAATGAAATAAATGTGGAAAATATCTTGCAAAAAGATCTGGATAGTGCAGAGGAATGGTCTTAAAAGTGGCTCTTGGGTTTTAATTCTAGTAAATGTGTTATAATGCATTATGGTACAAATAATCCTCGATTGAAATATACTTTAAATGGTGTTGAACTGAAAGATTCTGAATGCGAGAGAGATTTAGGTGTATATTTTTCAACAAACTTGAAATGGAAAAAACAAATTATATCAAGTACTTCTAAAGCAAATTCAATGATGGGTATGTTAAAGATAACATTTTCACGAATTGATGCAAAATTGGTTAAAACATTGTATAAGGTATTTATTAGACCTCTTATTGAGTTTGCAATACCTGTTTGGTCACCTTATTTTAAAGGAGACATATCACTTTTGGAAAAAGTTCAACACAGGATGACTAGATTAGTTCCATC